TCTCTGTCCACCCCCAAGTCCAGCTCCCAGTCACATGGAAAAGAAAACCCAGCCTCAAGGCCATAGGTGAGCCTTGTTCTGTCTCTTGTAGGAGGGGTTTTCAAAATGTTTGTGGAGGATGCATATTATGAAAAAAATACATAGATTATTTTGCACCAAAATAAACTTGTACATTAATTCCATTTTTCCACAAACTTTTAAAAAAAAATTTTGCTTTAGGGTGTGTGTGCTCACCCAAGAGAGATACAGAGGAAGAGAGGGGAGAGGTGGGAGGAAAAGTAAGAAAGCACCTCCCCAGGGGTAAAACGGCCATTCCAGAATCCTTTCTTCCTCATTTACCTCTTAGGATTTGGGGCGCGCGCGTGCACACACACACACACACACACGCGCGCGCGCACAGCTGGCATATTTCAGGCCGCCAGGTCCAGGACTTGAACTGTGTGGTAGTCTGTGTGGAATGCCGCTGCCTTAAATACTATGCTACTGGCTGACCCTTTCCACACACTTTTTGAAGTCTCCTTGTACTTCACAGTATAGATACTAGGTGAGAAAAGGACTGCTGGTGACCCCCCCCCCCGAGTGACAGGAGGTTGGGTGGCATTAAAAGTGCTGCAGAGTGACACCACCCTTGACGGGAAGATACTCTGTGAAACCCACAGAGCACTTGGCCTCACTCACAGTGCTGGAGCACAAGAGCCTGCATTTCCCTCTTGGATGGATGGACGGATGGGGAGCCTCAGGTGCCCCTGCTGTGCATCACAGAGGCCAAGTCCGCCCGAACCCAAGCTGACCTCACTTCCCAAACATGGGGGTCCAGGAAGGAGTGGAGTGCAGTGCTCTGGCCTCACTCTGCCTTTTTCACAGCATCAAGAAGTGTCTGCATGCAGGGACGCCCTCTTGGTGTGCACTGATGTCATGGTGCAGGCTCCAGGACAAACTGCCGCGACTGCCGTAGCTCGGCGGGGACTGGTCTCATGCTCCTGGTGGCTTCTTTTCCACATCTGTGAGGTGTGTGTTGCAATAACACTCCTACCTCATGGGAACGGCCGTGAGGGCTTAGCCACATGATGTGTGTCCGGCTGCACCTACCTGCCACTGTCTGGTTTTAGTTTTATCCCCACAAAACCTGTAAGAGGAATTACAGGTCAGGGAGCAGAAGCCGCGAAGACAGCAAGTACACTTGCTGGAGAGTCAGAGAGACAGAAAGTGAGAAATCACCCTCTGTGGGGATGGCCACGTCACAGTCCCTTCTCCTCCAGTCTTCTCTTGGGATTTTAGGCATGCACACACATGCGCCCAGCATGAGTTTTGAGCCACCAGGTCCGGGACTTGAACCACAGTCAACTACATGGGACTCCAGTGACATGACTATTACTCCATCTGCTGGTGTGAGGACAGCAACTAAACAAGCCAGAATGAGGCGGCTTCCTGGTGGAGATCACCTGGGCCTTGAGGGGTAAATGTGAGTTGTGGGAGAAAGGCAGACAGCTCCAGTAGCAGAAGGTGCGCTGGTGCACACACTGCCCGGCACCAGGCACCAGGCAGCAGGTGTGGCGCTGTGCCCAAGTTCCTGCATCCAGCCCCCTCCACACCCTGAGCAGTGGCCCTGGCTCTGAGCCCATGCACATGGAAGAGACAAGGGCATTTGCCACAGGGCGGGCAGCTGGGCACTGGGAAATTCCTAAGAGGACGAGGCCAGAGCTGAGGCCAGACCTTGTAGCACTTGAAAGGCTCCCTGAGGAGTCTGGCTGACCCTGACACAGTAGTGTGTCCTAGACTTTGAGACTAGGCAAACTGGAAAAAGTATCTTGGAGGCTCATGCTAACTAAAAATTGCAAGTCAGGATATTAAAAAGAAATCTCGGCGAGAGAGAAGACTTGCCAGCTTCTTCCAGGCCCCGATGAGAGCACTGGCACCTCTGAGCTTCGCTTGCTGAGAACCAAGTGCAGTGCCCACTTCTCAAAGGCCCCTGGAAACTGGAGTCTGAATCCACAGAGGTGCCGCGGCCCTTGCTGCTCACCTCAGATAGAAGCCAGTGTAGGGTACTGGAGAAGCGCACAGGCAGAGGCTGGGGCTCCTCTGGCCGTGCAGCTGGGGCATTGGGAGCACAGATGAGAGGTGCTGAGGCTGGGCATCTCTACCCTGCAGACACCCCATGAGGAGATCTGCCTGGGGCTTCCACTCAGCAGAGCCCTTTCCTTCCAAAAGGGTGGTGTCAGGGACTTTCCTCATGAGTTAGACATGGCCGGTGTAGTTCTCTGTGTCCTAGAGGCCAGATCTGACCCCTGAGGCCTCCTGGTCCCAAGGCAGGGACGGGGAAGAGAAGGAGCCCTCGGCCCCTCTCCTTGGCAGTTCTGTTAGTGGGTGCCAATGCCAGGCCCCTCCCCGCGTAGAGCCCATTACGGTATCTGAAGCCCTGCCTCCATGTGTGGTGCGGGGGCTGTGCCTTTACCGACTGGCCTGGGTCACACAGAGCGGTAATAGGTGAGCTGTGCTTTTGTTTTAGACCAGCTAACTTCTGGGAAAATAAAAGGAACAGATTTGATGTTAATGATTTCTTTTTAAAAGTTTCTTTGTTTCATGAAAGAGAGGTGGGAAATTATCATGGCATAATTCCCCTCTCCCCTCCAGCCTTCTAGCCAGCCAGGATCATGGGTACGCCTGGCATTTGGGTACCAGGACCTTCCCATTCGGCTCCACTCTTTGCCCAATGGCATCCTGTCACGTGTACCACTGTGGCTGGGTCAATAATTGC